CAACCTCTCGTCAATATGCGTTTTTCGCATTGCATTGCTGCAAAAAACGCATAAAAATGCAAAATCCGACCAATTTTCACTGTTTGAAAAACTGCCTAAATAGCGGTACATTGCCAGCAGCGAACATTCATTAGAAAAGCTATTCAATGGCGTTCTCTTTTCAGGTCCGGTTAAAGAAATTCCATGAACACAGGGTAAATACCAAGCTAAACAGTGAATCACAGAAGAATTGATTTCCTCTTCGGAGAGCTAAAAATAAGTCAAAACCCGACTCTAATGATGTTACTGGGATGCAAGAAAGTGTGATACGTAGCTAAGCCTAACCCTCCAACTTATGTTTTTATGTGTTTTTTGCAGCTATGCAATCCGGAAAACGCCTAATGGCGAGAGGTTGCCTGTGTGCGTGCGTATGTCTGTGTGTGTCTGTGTGTGCGCAGGGCCTCTGTACCGATTTTTCATCTCGAGACCGGCAAAAGCTACAGGGCTGAAACTTGCGGACATAATCTACATGCGCGTACGGGCCCCCATCCGCAAAACGGGCGGTCTTACCCGCGTGGTACCAACGTAAGAGCCCGCCAAAATTGTTCTCGGGTAAGCTGATAACTCGCGAACCAGGAAAGCTAGAAAGCTGAAATTTTAAGGGGGGTGTTTCCTGCCAGTTCTGGTGGCCAGTATTAATTTGTTTAGCTAGAAGCATTTGCCAAAAAAACCGATGCCGGTAGCGACTAAAACTGCGAGGAACTATGCAAAAAACGGGCAATCCGTGCGTTAGGCAATTATTTTAGTTTGCACCTACTTTCAACATGTTTTGTCCCTTGTTACTCCACAATAATAAGCAACATTCGTTGTCCATTCATATGGAACGGAAAAAAAGCTAACCAATATCAATGCCGAGCGCATTTTCCGAAATACTATTGGCTTTCAGCAGGTCATCAAGCCATAAGATATAATTGAGACGCTGTGGTATACGTGGTACCAAACAATTTGCTGGCAATTCAACA